AATTTTGGGGTTTTTTAACTCCTAGGAACTGGATTCTTTTTGTTGTTGTTTCAATTACATATCTACTTTTATCTTAGAGATAAAATTAGTAGATTACATATATTGCCTCGGAATTTTTTGGACAAATATAGACTCAAAAACACTTGACAATTTGGAAGACAAAGTAAGTTTGAACAAGACTGTAGGTACAGAATTCTTCTGCTTTTATGCTATTTCTGATGCTTAACATACGTTTGTTTAGGCAAAAATCACTGAAAAAATAGTGAAGTATTGAATCAGTTCTCTGCTGTCAAAGGTCTTTAAGAACTCTTGGCTACACATTTACACTCAGCTCTGTGCTGGGTATCAAGAAAGGTGGAAACATCTGTTTCAAAAGGTAATATTGTGCCAGGCAAAGACCAATATTGTTTAAAGATCACACCTGAACCTGGACTGTGGATTTCACACTCCCATTCTAGAAGAATAGTAATGAGAAATATGCTTTCCTTGATGAAGGAAAATCTGGGTTTCAGAGCTTCTTGAAAGCTGTTTTCTCAAAAGCTAGTTCTGATTCCAAAAAACAATCAGGCTACCATAATTTACGTGTTGGCAAGAGTCAGAGTCATGACACCTGCAATAAGAAAGCTCTGTATGTGATATTGGGCAGTGTCTCATAAATCATGCAGTTTGCCAGCTACCTGTCAGAGGAGAAAATCCTGCATGTAAATTTAGACCCGCACAAGTAGTTCTTGGATCTGAGGGGCTTTTGCATTACCTTCAACAACTTCCCAATATTCTGCTCTGCTAGTGCTTTTCTCGTGGGAAAACACATCTATGTGCCTTTGACAGGAAAAGTTCATAAGTCTGATGTTTAATGAAGAAAGTGCAGCAGTAAACTGCCAATTCCATTCATTCTTGTATGAATTTAGTATATCATATTAAAAGGAATAGCGGCTAATGTTTTCAAAATGGGATATATCTACTTAGGTGCTTTAAATTAAATTTAGATGTGTGAATAAAATTAGGCTGCCTTTCAGGAGAACTTGGCATATCAGTTATTAACTGAAAGTTTCTGCCTTGTACTGGGTCTGGCTGGGATAGAGTTAACTTTCTTCATAGCAGCCTGAATGATGCTATATTCTGAATTTGTGGCTAAAACAACCTTGATAATGCACCAATGTTTTGGCTGTTGCTCAACAGGGCTTGAATAGTGTCAAGGCTTTCTCTTTTTCCCACCCTGACCCCTCAGTGAGTAGGCTGGGGATAGGCAGATGACTGGGAGGGGAGACAGCTTGGACAGTTGACCTGAGCTGACTAAAAGGATATGCCGTATCATACAACATTCATGTTCAGCAGTAAAAACTGGGGTAGAGGAAGAAGAGGGGGTTTGGCTTGTGAGATGGCCTTTGTTTGGAGACTGGCTGGGCATCAGTCTACATGTGAGAAGTGGTGAGAAATTTCCTTCACCTCACTGTCTTTGTTGGTGGAATTTTTTTTTTTCTTCTTCTTCATCTATTAAACTGTCTTTATCTTAACCCACAAGTTTTCTTGCTTTTGTTCTTCCTGTTTTCTCCTCTCACCCTGCTGAGGTTGGAGGGAGTGAGTGGCTGCACGAGTGCTCGGGTGCTGGCAGGGGACAACCCACCACACACCTGTACACTCAGGTATTGACTTTTTCACTAGATTAAGAAGGTAGCAGTCAATTATATTTATACCCCATCCAATTAAGGAAATGCTTGATTGGAAGCCTCTGATTAAATCACTAGTCAGGCAATGAGCAAGGCAGTTGTGGAGTGTTCCCCTCTCTTGTTTGCAGTCAGTATCCTGTAAGGGTTTGGGTGTAAAGGATGCTACAGTGGGTTTCAAGAGGGTGCTGTGTATCATCTGTTACCTACCCACTCAGCATGAGTTATTGCCACTGTTACTACCTCCTCTAGTACAGGGGAGAGACTTGTTTATGGTAATATACAGTCCTAGAATTTTCTTTTCTGGAGAACTGAAAGTTTTACTTGTACTTGGCTGATGTCATACAGTACTTGGGATTGTTTTTAGTTAACTTTGGTAATCCTGTAATAAAGATAATCCTTTAATATGTTATATAAAATAATAATCCTATTATAGAAACACTTTCTAGAGACTTGGTGGTAAATGGAGAGCAAATTCTGGTTTTAACAATTTAAAACATTGGTTTAGAGTTGTTGCTGACATTTTTGGTGTGTCCATGTAGACTAATGGAATGTATGCAGCCAAAGTCCTAGAAAACAATTAATAAAAACTTTGAACTAAAGCATCTAGCAGTGCACTTACTTTTCCATAAGTATATATAATGTTGTCCTGTTCAAAATTAGACTTGTTGTAGAAATCTAAAGCATGTATGAATTTCATAATATATTCAGTATATGTTGATCTTATGGACCTCTTATTAAATAGCTAGGAATTAACAACCTAGTGTGTTGCTTAAAAGCACCAGTAAACCATTAGCATCAGTTTAAAATGTTTTCCAATAATGCTATATCTTTAGCAATTACATGGATGAAGTGTAAGTATTTTACTCTTTAATAAAATTATTCTAAAGTCAAGAAATTTGTTGATTATGTCACATGAAGTAGAATATATCAGTTACATTTTATTATATCTGGGTTAGTTATAAATATACATAAGATATCTGTTAAGCTTCAGTGTTAAATATTGCACACAGAAAACTAGTATGTTTCTGAAGATCTATCTGTCTCTAAACACTCTTGAGTAGTTTTTATTGAAGACAATAATGGGAGGCTTTTTCTCCTTATGGAACTAACTAGCTTCATGGCCAGTTGACAGTATTTTTAAATTCTAAACTGCAAAATATTTTTTAATATAATATTAAGTATATAATTTTTTTGAGAATTATCTTAAACATTCACCATGTCTTGAAATCTAAAAAGTTTTGTCCTCTTTCTTCCCCCTGGCTGGATATATCAATAGTACATCCAGGTACTAGCATCTCATTCTGCTAATCTAGTGCTTTCATTAACAAAAGACCCTTAATGTAAACAGTTTAAGGCTGATTTGCTTTAGCATCGACCAAAAGATTAGGCATACTGGTTTAGTTCCTTTTTTGGAAGATAATTGAAATACTAGTTGGTCAAGTTTGTTTCAAACATTTATCTTTAAAGAAAATAGGAATTCAGCCCAAACCAAGAAATAAGAAGTGCCTGTTGTAGTTGGTAGATTTACTTTTCTGAGATTTTTCAGATTCATATCCGAGTTTGTTCTGCTATATATAAGGCACACCCTGATTTGTTGGGTGGTTTTTGCCCTTCATAAGAGACTTCCATTAATGGCTCAAGCAATGGTTTCTAATTCTGAAGACAAATTAATTTCTTATGATCCAAACTGTTCTCATGTGTTTTCTTTCTATGATTTTCTATCTTTTTATTTATTTACTTACTTACTGTTTTCTGTGAAAAAGCCCTTTTAGAAATCATATGTTTCTGGAAACAGTGAACACAAAGCATCATAAAGCATGAAAGGTTGGCACATATTAGAGTGTCGATATAACTAAAGCAAGCAAATCTTATGCTATGAATGCAGAAAGGTACCTGAATGTTTTTCCAAGACTTTTTGCAGATCTGAATAACTGAGATAGAGGTGACTGTCAGAGTAAATAATCTTCCAGCTCTTGCTAAGTTGAAATGTATCCACAGTGAACGGAAAAAGCTAGGAAATCCATCTTTCATCACTTTTTTTATTGAGATAATTTCTTCTGCAAACATGTTCATCGTATGAAAGCATCACTGGATTCACTATACCACTGCAGACCTTGATGGCTCTGGTTAAGTGGATTTTCTGCATGTGCCTATGGCAGGCATGTAAGTAACAGGGAATGTATGAGGAAAGGAGGCAAGAAAAAGAGAAAATACCTCGCCATGAGAGGAAATAATTTGTTCCTGAAGAAACTTGTGGCCAGCGATGGCTTGGTGGACTTATGGTTGAGTGGTCTTACTTTACAAAGTAAGATAAAAAAGGAAGGATGGGATGCTGGAATGTATAATCTCCATACTTTAAGATAGCTTTTCCAAATATAAAGTTATGGAGACACAGAGTCTAGACGGCTGAAACCCTTGATCCAAAAATAACACATTTTACAAATTAGGTGTGAAAAAATCATTAAAGGGAGCAGAAGTAAGGTGGTTTGAGCACCTTCCAAAGTGTTTTTGTCCCCTCTTCTTCAAAGGGAAACTGATTTTTATAGAGTTCTATTAGTTGTTGTGTTTTGTTTTGAAACTACTGCACTTTAGTTAAAGTTTGGTTAATGCCGAATTATTTATTCTTTTCAATTTTAACGTGGTTTAGTGATTATGATAATATCATTTGTAAAAATGTAGTCATTTGAATTTAGCTATCTTCTGGGTTTTTTATGTGAGATTTAAGGATCATGTAAGAAACTTGTAAAAAGCTGCCTGTTGTGATTCTCTTTGTGTTACTGAAATATATGATAAAATACCAGTTAATCAAGATATACATATATATAATAATTTTAAAGCAAAGTATCATTTATAATTCTAAAGATGAAGGAATATGTTTGCATATATATATATATAACTGTATATGATTTTGAGTTACGCTTTTAAAATGGAAATATATTTCAATTGTAAATGCTATTTTATTTTATTTTGTTTTGAAGAAGTAAAGATCAGTATATAAGCAGAAGGACACATTCTTAAATGGCACACTTCTGGGGGATTGGGAGTATTATTTCTTGATGGCTGAGATTTACTGTATCATTCTCACTATTCCTAAATATGTTCTGCAGATATTGCAGTTAGTTATTACTTGTCATATATATTGCAATTTTTTCTACATTTATGACATTTAAAAGATGCTGAAATATGGAGCATATCAACAAATAAGTAAACATTGAATCTGAGACATCTGACTTTTGATTTATTTTTTTATTTATTTCTTTTCCTAACTATATTGTCTGAAGTATTATCCATCAGTTGTTTTCTGTGGGCTCACGTTCATGCACTCCTTTGCAGGTCAGTTCCTCCTAGAAGAATCTCGCCTGATAGAAGCAGCTGAGATGGCAAAAAAAGCAGCTGAACTTGATAATACAGAATTCGATGTTGTTTTCAATGCAGCCCATATGCTCAGGTTAGTGCTTTTAAATCTGCCTTACTTGAGTTTTCTCCCTTCTTTGCTAGGGAAGAAGTCTTTATAGCCTTTGCTTGCACAGGATTCTTTTTAAAGCCCAGCAACTCTTTTGAACAATTTGATATTGCTCATAAAATAAAAAGAGTTGGAGCGAAACTGTTGCTGGATTTAACACTTTGTATTTCTTATTTTCTACGTGTTACCTCATAATTTCTTACCATCAAAACTTCTATTGTTCACAAGCAGGCAATCTTTTTTGCTTGAATACAAGAACAAGTGTTTCTTTTGTTAAGAACTTTCTGCAGAATTTCCTTTCACTTGATTTTTAAAATTTAGGATGCATAACAATTGCAAATAATAGACCATATTTCTGATCTAGATGTAACTAAAGAATATAGAAAATATCACATTTTATGTTAACATCAGTAGGGAACACTACAATAATTAGAAATCTAAATACTCCCGGGCTAATGATTACTTTGAGACTCATAGGATCTCTTAATTTTATTATCAGGATCTATGATTTAAAATGTAGTCTTATATTTAATTCCGTTCTCCTACCTGAATGGAATAAAACTTTAGGCTTTTTTTTTTTCCTTTAAAGCTGTCAGACCTGGATATTCAGTAACATTAAGCTTCTGCCTGAACATTATCATTAAACTCACATTACTGTAATAGATATTCTCCATGCTTATTTTGAAGATAACTATCTAATTATTGTCTATTGTCCACTTAACAGCTATGAGGATACTTGATTTCATTTAGATTATATCCATGATTAGAAAATATATGAAAAAGGAAATAAAAAATATACTTCATTAGCACAAAACAGTTATTGAGATAATTTCTCTAATGAAGGAACACTTGGGTGCTTATATTTTTAACATTTAGAGTATGAAATGAAAGGACAAGAAAATGGTATTAAATAGAAGATAGAATCAGCTTCATCAGCTAAGTGACCTGTGTTTCAAAACGAAAGGTTTTATACCAGGATTTTGAAATAAGCCCTAAAATGCCCTTTGAGAAAGAATTCTCACTGCTTGTAGAATAGAAAGGAAACCGAGACAAAAGGTTCACTGGTAAACAATAGTTTGACCTGCCACAGCTGTATGAGCTACTTTAAAGATCCTTCCCTTCTTGAATATTTTCTGAATGATATCTCTTGAGATAGAAATCAGTAATTTAAAACATTTAGACTAATGAAACAAATTCACAGACAGAAGCATAACAAGTTAGGCATGAAAGCTGAATCCAGAAGGGGAGAGACTGTGTCAGACTCCTGATTTCAGTGAGTATGTTGTGGAAGATGGTTTCACGGTGTGATTTTTTTTTTTTTTTTTAATTGGTGGATATTTTAAAATGTGATGATGTAGTATTTTCAGAATAGGTTTAATGAACCTCTTACTTTCTCTGTGAGCACTGAATGAAGCATCCCAGGTCTTGAAGGCACGTGTTTTTACATTGTGATATGGGTATTTTTTCACTCTCAGAGTAAGAACTATGCTGCTGTACTGTACATCAGCCACGGCTACTCTACTTGATCTGGTTGGGAATGGACACTTTTTGGGAGGTTTTGACCAGCATTGAGCTCAGTGATTCTAAACTGCGTTCACTATTTTAGCTATAAGCAAAAAAAAAACCCCTTTTATTAGAAAAAAGAAAACCCACCAAACCAAAACCCTTAAAAACATAAAAAAGGCCTGGTGGCTTACTTTAGCTAGAATCCAACTGTGCTCCTTTGGGATACCCAGTTGGTCTAATTTTTCACTTAAATACTCAGCTTTCTTTTTAGAAGATCTTAATGTCTTCCTAATGTGCTCTGGGAGTCTGAAGTGATCTGGAGGATTTAGCAAGGGTCAGGGTGGCAAAGTTAAATTCAGTGCTACTAAGTATTTACTTAAAACTGCATGTGCTATGATCTGACTGGTTTTTGCTAAAAAGTTATGATTCTGTTGTCTGCCTTTGTTCACTACATTACTTAGCAATTTATTCAATATATTGCTTATATAATAGCTATTGGACAAGGGGAATGTATATTCATACATTAGGTCAGAGCAACTACAAATCCATCATGAGTCTATGGGAATTCAGAAGAACCTGACTTTCAGGATATTTAGAATGATGGAGGGCTGAGGTGATTCCAAGAGGAAAGCACATACCAAGATACAAAGGAGGAAAGAAAGGAGTCTTCTGACTGGCATCGAGTAACACAGCTAGAAACTGTGGATGCTAAAGGCAGTCATAAATTAAAGGCTGAAATTTTTAAGTGTAATAGTTTAATGTAGGTGACCAGCTGCTCTTTAAGTACTGTGAAGAGCTATAAAAACTGACTGGTAAGGGAGTAAGAATTTTGAATGGACCGCACAGCTGTGAGATAGAAAATATATTATAGATGTTCACAGGGCATGGAAGTGAATCGATTGTCGTGAGAGAGAAGGGATAAATTTTAACGATGTGTTGTGGATTAAGAGACAGAAATTTATATTAATGTTGATAATTTAGGGTGCCCAAAATGACTGGGAGGTAATAACGGCAGCTTAGTTTTTCATGTAAATTCTAATATTTTTTTAGACCAAATATGTAGAGTATAATGTACTGTCGAATTAGAAAGGAATCATCTTTTCTTCCTGTCATACTCCTGTTTCCACCATTAGCCCAAGAAGTGTCATGAGATTCAGAAACACATAGACATTTCTTCAGAATTGAAGGCAAATTCTTTCAAATTTGGGTTACAGCTGCTTTGGATGTAAAACAATCGCAACATTCCTTCCAAGAACAATTTATTTTTCTGCTCTAGTGCTAAAATACTTTCTTTTTTAAATCATTTTACTCTCTGAGAAAAATGTTTAAATTCAAATGTGACATAAATAAAAGTAACAAGCTTTTAAAATTTTGAAAAAGCATAGACTAGAATGCTGTGGGTTATTTTTTTTTTCTTAAATTTTCAACAGAATTTTTAATTGTGTCCAAATAGAATAGCTGTATTTATAGGTAGCCTGTTGTCAGCTTAGCAGTCACAAGAAAGATTTCTGCTCCTTCTGTCACATATTCCAACACTATTTACTTCCTGTCTCTGTGACTAAATCTGGAGCTGAAGTCAAGAAAAAAAATGAGTTAGTTAACTATGTTTGCATTATTGAGAGATCTCCCTGTTCCGAATTAGACAAACATAGTCATAAATTTTTTGCCTAGATGCCTTCTGTAATCGTGGATCCTGATAATGCAATGCCAGATGAATCAAGTCATCTGTACCCTTTACTGTAAGGGTTATGGAGCACTGGAACAGGCTGCCCAGAGAGGTGGTGGAGTCTCCATCTCTGAAGATGTTCAAAACCCACCTGGACGCTTTCCTGTGCAACCTGTTGTAGGGAACCTGCTTTGGCAGAGGGGTTGGACTAGATGATCTCCTGAGATCCCTTCCAACCCATACGACTCTGTGATTCTGTAATACAAGTGAGATGTGGGATGAATGTAATTAATTTCTTTGCAACAGTCTGGTAACTTTTAACTTGCATAGTACTTGCCTGTAGAATTTGTTTGCTCAACGTTCCGGACAGCTTAATTCAAAGGACTTGTAGCTGTTTGGGTGATTCTTCTTTAAAGAGTAACTGGTCATGTATTTTGCTTCTGTAGTATTTGCTGTGCTCTTTCTTGCAGCCTCGGTTTGAAGCCTTTCAGCAAAGCTAGATACGCTTTAATGGAATGCAGTGAAGCATGTCTTTGTAATGCCATATGGTGGCTGTAGCTTCAGTGACTGTGTCATGTATTAACAGTGCTAAGTTTCACTTTGTATACTGAGGTGAGCTGTTATGAGACAGGTTTCCTGTGATCTAAGGGATGATTACTTTTAGAATGACTAATAGGAGTGTAGTGACACTGTCATACTAATTAGAAACAGGAAAAGAGCTTCACCTTGTCTCCAAATGAAAACAAGCATAGGAAGAGCTTTGCTTAAAAGCACATTTTGTAGGAATAATTGTTTTTTTCATGCTTCTGTAAGACAGTGGGCTGCTCTGAGAAACACTCATATTACATGAAGTTATAATGTCCCTGGATGCATTCCTGTGTGACCTGCTGTAGTTGTTCCTGCTCTGGCAGGTGGATTGGACTAGATGATCTTTTGAGGTCCCTTCCAATCCCTAACATTCTGTGATTCTGTGATTTAATTTACTGTCCATGTGCATAAATATATGTATTTGTATGTCTGTATGGCTAAGCATATAGTCTATGTAAATTTTGTAACTGTTGAAAAAAAAAAAAAATGTGGATGAAGTTACATGTATGGAATCTGATTATGATTTTGTTGTGACACAAAAAAGTCCATTAAGAATGCCAAGTACCAACATTCAGTATTTTAAAATAGGAATCTATTTTGAAGAAAACTTCTTTGTAGCTGGACTGACATCCATTATTTCAGTTAAAGAAAAAGATCAACAATCTAAAGCCTTGTGCCAATTCACATGTTTCTGTATCTTAAGCCAGTCAGCATGGGTGTTGTTTGCCTCTTAAAGCAATATTTTTTCCAGTGATCAACATAAAGATTCGAAATGAATGCAAGCTGAGTATAACTGGGTGTGAGGAGAACCTAAGAGCGATGTGTTCTCAAGTGCATTTATGAGGTGTCACTGACAGTGAGCTGGAATGAAACACAGGGAATTGGTAGGTCCAGAGGCTCAAATTAAGAGATAGGAGAGAATAAAAAGAGGAGACATTTTTGTCCTTTAAAATAACATTGAATGCTAGGTGTTAATGGGGAAAAAAAAAATGTGTTTTCAAGGTCAGTCCTCATGAAAACATTTAGGATAGGTTGAAAACTTGTAACTATGAAAAAGACTCTGGCTTCCAAACTTCTCTTTGCTTCCTTTCTTTCCTATTATCAACATTTTATCTAATATTCTACTCTACTAGAGGAAACATAATTCACATTAGTGTCCTTCCATTTTTTGACACTGATCCAGAGCCCTTTACGGCTCAGTAGCGTAGGGTTACTGCAATTTCCTACCTCTGTGCCTTTAATTTTTCTCAAGGGAAAGCCATTCCAGGCCTTAACATAATGAATTTCTAGTTTAGATTTCCAGTGAAAATGGGAACCAGAATTCTGCCATATCTTAACTAAAGGAACTGTTGCTGAATGCCTCAGTAGTGGAACTGGCATTTTCTTGACTAGATTAGTGTGGTGTGCATTCATTTCTAGAAACAGTTTTTAATGGAGAACTATAAATTCAAACTGATTTCAACTTAGGAATTAATGATCCATGTTTCAAGATGTACATGTGGGAGTAAGGCAAGCCATGTATTTCCACTGGGCTAAAAGGGGACAGGATTTTAATTTGTTCCATGTTCTCATGCCAATGACACTTTTTGTAGGTGAAGTGTACTGTCTGTATCTGCCTCCTGGGTAAGGCACCTTGTTTATTGTACAGAATTTCAGCACATTCAGAAATGCTTTGTTTTCTGATAGTTTTATGCAAAGAGAAGAAAAAAAACAAACAACAAACCACAAAACAAAACTCTGTAACATGTTTAATTTTATGTGCCTTGCAGTTAATCTTGAAATTTAGAAGTATGAGATTATTTTTTTTTTCAGTCATCTCAAGTGCTACTTACGCCCAGCAGGAGTGATTCAGAAGCAGGTTAAATGAATATTTTTAGACATTGAATCGTTTCTAACCACTGCAACCACTGAGTCGATGATATATGTGCAAAGTAATTTAAAACAGTTAACGGGTATAAACCAAGTTCTACTTGGCAAATTGTTAGTCAGGAAGTGGTTTCAGCTTGCATGTGAATTATGTGAGAAACTTCAAAGGGATTAACCTTACTCCCTTTCTCCTCCCGAGACCAGTAACTGTCAAAATGTGTTGATTTGGATTAATTGCCTATCATGTATTATGTGGCTAATGTTTAAAATTTGTGTGGGTGGGAACATAAAATTAGAACACAATTTGATGGCTGAATAACAAAACGTGTAGAAGCTTACATAATGAACAAGGTAAAATCTACAGGTACAAGTGCTCAGTTGCTTGATACTCTTTGAACTAGTAGCTGGTCTAAGAAAAAGAAAAAAAATAACACCCAACAAACAACCCTACTCAGCATTATCCTTTTCTAATTTTTCTGCTTTGTATCAGAGAAATGCATCTGTAACCACATAACCAAGACACTGAAGATATCCTGTCCTAACTCTACTGTGATGGGACCTAACTCTTCATAGAAAAAAAGCAGATAACTTTAGCAGAAGATAGGTAGCCTGCCTGATAGGCCTGCTTGGTTGTTCTTACGTATTTACTATCTTTCTCATGACATGGCATGTATGTGATCAACTGATATGCATTGGACTAGTAACCAAAATGAATAGCTGGAGGGAAATTAAGAAGGTGGAGACAAAAGGAGAAGAGAGGAGTTTGAGAGAAGAGATTAAAAGGGCCTGTTGAGACAAAAATATATTTGGATTTCTTTGGCACCATATTACATTTCCGTTTGAAGCCATTAAACTGAAAACTCAGGAGATGAAATAAAAATTAAACTACTAGGAGAATGTAGATGCTGTCTGTATTATCTGTATTAGCAAGGAAAAGAAAAAGAGGTGAGTGCTTCAAGTACCCAGAAACTCATCTTATTCACCTGGGATATTAGATCTACGTTTAAATCCTCTCTCAGACTGATATTGAGTAAATGTTGGAATCTGAATTCTTTTATGAATGAATTCTCTGCATCATGGAAACCTATTTTTGCGAAATCATTCTCTGTTTTTGTTTTTTTTTTTTCCCCTTCCTGGGATGGTAGTGTTCTTAGGGAGGCACAAAGAAAGGAACTGCATTATTGTATAACCTACAGATTCATAATTTACTATTAAAGTATGGCTAATTACAAAAAATAAGCCAGGTTTTCCTCTGTTGAAGTCTGGTGCGTCTCTGGCTTTGCCTCAGATGAGTGTTTAGCCTTCTGCATTTGTCTCCAGTGTGTACTAATATAATTTCAGAACTAAAAAGAAAATAAGGTAGGCAAAGAGGATTTGTGATAATGGACATTCTGATTGACAAACAAAAAAAATCTTTTAGATTGACATATTTTTGTGCATTTGTTAGGGTAATAACCTTAATCAGTGGGGAGTAGTTGCAGTATTTCAGTTTTAGCTCTGCTTCTTTAGGTATCGTTTCTTTTTTAACCCAATGGAAAATGAGGTGTAACTATTTTTTTTTTTTTTGTCCCGATAGACAAGCCAGTCTCAATGAAGAAGCAGAGAAGTATTATGAAATGGCAGCAGGATTAAGACCTAATGTAAGTACCTTCTTAATGATATCTATTACTTAAATTGATGAACATGCTACAGTGCTGAAACCTTTGTGTCGATGAGAAACTTCTTGTTGGAGCATTTGATCACTCGACCTGTATTATATATGTTCTTTTAATGGTTAATTACTGGATAGTCAGATAAAGCTGTTAATTTGTCAAACCGATCACTTTACTTTCAAGTTACCTCAGTGAAGTATTCTAGCAATATCTTGGCTAACAGACTTGGAAAAGTTTTCTAGATTTAGATTTATTTATTTACCTTTAAATGTGTTAAGTTTGGGTAGCTCTCCTAATTCCGTCTATTTTCACTAGTAAAAGATAATGAAAAGTTATTCTGTGATCCACTGTTTAGTGCATTTTATATAATATATTTATACCTTTTCCTCTCTTATGAACTTTTGTCAAACATTGTTGTTCAACAAACTTAAAGATTATTTTACCTCAAAGGTATTTACCTCTGAGTTTGTTGTATATAGGCAAAGAAATGCTTATTCCTTGAAGCAGAAATATGTAGAGTGTGTGACAGACCTTTTTAGAAAGAAAAGCTTATTTCCAATTTTATCGCATCAGGAACTAAAGAAAAAAATACTTTCTTTTTACCTTTTTTTACTCAATGTTATATTTCTTTTCAGTTACCTTCATATTTTGGGAAAAAAAACCCACTCATAAATATAAATGGAGTAGAATTTATTTTAAATACCTAATGCTTTGTTTATGCAATAAATCAAATCTAGAACACATTTCTGTCTCAGAAATCTATAGTTCCAAATTTGAGAAAACAAGTTAGCAATTTCAGACAAAAAAAAAAAAAAAAAGGAAAGGAAAAAAAAAGAAAAAAACCCAAAACAACAAAAAACCCTACAGGCTTAAAATGAAAGAGTTGTCAGACCTAAGAATCAAAAGCAACACCAGTTAAAATTCAAAACAAGCTAACAAAATATAGTCTAAAAAAAAAACCCTGAAGTAACTTATTCATGTGAACTTATGCACTTTCCCACCATCTCTTGAAAAACACTCTCCAAAATAGATATTTCTCTATATATTTCTTTAATTTATACTTTGTGGGATAACAATTTAGACTTTGTGATTCCTTATTCTTTCAGATGCAAGACTTTTTAGTTTTTTTCTGTGTTCTTTACCACTGAAAGAATTCCCTCAGTTGCCTCATAGCTGGTACAGTTCCTTTTCTCTTTTCTGTCATTTAGTGTACCCTCAAAATGTTTCTTAGAAATTCAGAAATATATTTATTCTTATATAACCATATATTAATATACGTGTTAAATTTCTCAGAGAGTTTTGGAAGTAACTGAGAGCTTCTAGCTCATGGTAGTGGTACTATAAAGTTAGATATTTCTAGGTATTTCTGACAAGCTTTACATGTTGAGACCTTTTTGCAGGATTAGGTTATCAGAACAGTTTATTATAGCAACTTCATTCTAACTGATTAGTTTAAGTTAGAATCTTATAAGTACTGTTCTGCTTTCTTTAGGAGATAATTTCACTTTTACCTTCAAGATTATGAAGTTTAACTTTCTAGCTAAGCATAGTATGCATACATTTCATGACTTTTAAAAAATATTTTAATGATGCAGAGTGGGAAAGTTGTATCCATTTCCACTGCCAGCATCAACTGATGACTGTACAAGGGCAGTGTCTCAAGAATGAAAATAAAAACAGAAGTAGTCATACATATCTTTTTTCTCATTATTAACTCTCAAATTTACCACAATAGTTTTAGAGGAAAAGAAGCCACTTGAGGAGGTTTTCTAGATAGTAAGCAGTATAATGCAGACACAGTAAAACAGAGGCTCCCAATCTCTCCAAAGGAGTATGGAATTCAAATTAATGAAATCCTGTGTACTTCATAGCTACATCTGTACTGGTAAATCAGATGTGCCCAGGATTATTCTCTAGTGTTGATCCAACTGGCTTCTCAGAGTGTGCCCAGGTACTGTCTGAGAGACTGCAGTAGTCCAGTCCAGAGCTGTGTAGGGACCATCCTCACAGCTTGAAAATGCTCACAGTATAATTTGTTATTTTGAATATAGCCTGTGTATCCTCTTACTGTCTTATGAATGTGAAGGATCAGCAATATTATGTGAGTCAAGATGCTAAAGACATATCCTTAAGCAAAATATAATGCTGAAGGATTTTAATTTTATTTTTTGTGTCCATCAATAATGATCTAAAAACATTTCTTTACAGAAAAATCAAAATACTAGATGTATGACTGTGATGTAATGTACAGATGCAGGCATACATGCAGTTTCATGTATATACATATGTCTATGTGTATTTATGTGCACTTGTTTAATGTTAGTTGCTAAGAGGTCTGTTCCCAAATTTCGTATTGGTGAGAATACTGTGGCAACGATGTAGTCTTATTCTGTGCAGCAGATCAGCCTTGTTCCTAGAACAATTAAGTGTTAAAAGCATCTGTTTAACAAGGGCCTTCTGCCTTTTGGTGCTTGAAATGGTACCTGTTGACATGAGTGAATTTTGGCTCAGGATTCCAAGCATACTGTCTCTCTGCCTTTTTTTCAGATTTTTTTTTTTTTCTCCTATGCTTCTCCAATCACACTTCCACATCCCAAGCTGAAAACCAATTTCTCTGTTAGCAATTCCTTGCTTATTTGTTGTACCAAGACAACTAAATTATCAATTATTCTGAAGAATTAGACCCATACCTAGCTCCTGAGAGATTTTCAGCTAGTGCAGCAAAACTCAGATTTCCATTCTCTTGCACCCATTTTTTTACAAATTTTACATATTGTGTAATATCTTGCATGTTGCTACTATAAAATACCACCCTTAGCAGCAATGAGAGATGTTAGTAATACTACAAACTCAGTTTTTTACTGATTGTTAGCAAATTTGTATGCTCATTGAGTTTTTGTTACGTGATTTTTCTTCTCAGCATTCTTGCTTACCTTTTGCATCCCTTTGGTTTCTCAACTGTTACTATTACTTTTGGAATGCAACAATACTTAATACACAGTACTTCCTCACCTGCTCCTTGTATAAGCCTTTTAGATCCAGAAGTGTATAAGCCTTTTAGATCCAGAAGTGTATAAGCCTTTTAGATCCAGAAGCTGCTCTGCTGAGCTTTTCTGCACCCAAGGCCAGTTTAAATGGCCACCTGAGTTATGACTTTCAGAGCTACTTAGTTGGCTATTTCAGTGTGTTTTCCAGACAGCAATCTCCACTCTTATATTTGTCTCCTGAGCTAGCCTTCTTTTATTTCCATGTCTCAAGATCAGGGCACAAAAGTGAGCAACCAATATGCCTTCATGTCCGAGTCACTTTCTCATTCAACTAGTCCATTTTTATAAAAGTTGTAAGGAGGCTAAAAACATCCCCAGAGAAGCAGTATTCAGTTAAAGGAGACTTCTCTGTAACTTCTCTGGAACATGCAAGACAGTTTTTAAGAAAACAAATAGAGAAATATTTTTATAGTACTAGAGGTGATTTATTCATTATTGAACTAATTCTGAGAGGACTGAAAGATACTGAAAATACCATTTATTTTCTCCATTAAAGCTTTATTACAATAAATAAAGTATTTGCAAAAAAATTACATCCATTAAAGGAACAAGTGAATACAGCACAGAATCAGAGAATGTTAGGGATTGGAAG